GTTTCATGCCATTTTTGGCACTCATCATCCGATATATATTTAAATCGAGAAAAAACTGTTTATATATGTATATATATATATATATATATATATATATATTTTATATATATATATATATATATATATATATATATATATATGTATATATATATATATATATATATATATATATAAAAATATATATATATATATATATATATATAAATATATATATATATATATATATATATATATATATATATATATATATATATATATATATATATATATATATATATATATATATATATATATATATATATATATAGTAATAATAACAATAATAATAATAATAATAAAAATAGTAATAATAATAATAATAATAATAATTAGAGATTAAAGTCTTTTTTTGAATGTTTCTAAAGTGGTTGAGTTACGTATGTTTATAGCCAAGCCATTCCATATTTGAGGTGCATTCATGGAAAAAGATTTTGATCCTAGAAAAGTTTTTGATAGGCGGCAATTAAGTTAGCAACTGTCTGACGATTTTGTGTTTTGTTTTGAAATTCGGGTTTCTAGAAGTTTGAATAGATAAAAAAAGACAGTGCAAGATTAACTATTTTGAGTACGTTAGAGTTTTTTTTAAATTTTTTTCTAAGAACCTGATAAAAAACTGTTACAATAGTCAAGTTGAAAGTTAACAATGCCACAAGCAATTGTGTTAGCTGTGTCTTTGGTGACATGTGGCAAACAGCATGAATATGGTAGTTGCAGGATTTAAAAGTGTTGTTTATATTTTGGTCTAAGGAAAGTGTTGAATCTAGGGTGACACCTGGATTCTCACCAAATTTACTTTAGTTAGTGTTGTTGCAGAAAATGTAGTTCTGGAATCATTTTTAAATTTTCTAGTTTGTTTGCTAGATCCAAACGAAATAGCTTTAGTTTTGCTTGGGTTAAGCAGAAGTCCATTTTCTAGAAACCATTTTGTAACTGCATTAGCACATTCAGTGATTTTGTTAATGTTATATTTTTCTGGGTTAATGAAAGTATAAAGATAAAGCAAGCTTTTTAAGGATTTGGGATTTTGTATTGAGATTTGATAGGGCGCAGATCAGTGAGTTTAAACACTGTTTGTCCTGATTTTTTAGGAATTGGTGTAATTTGAGTAACCTTGAATGAGAGTGGGAAAATTTCAGATTTGAATAAGAGTTCGGCGAGGTGAGCTATAATTGGACTAAATAATTCTGAACATGATTTAAGAATGTTTGTTGGAATAATATCTAGTGGCAATGTCTTAGGTTTGAGAGTTTTGATTACATGCAAAACATCATTAGAAGTGACTGTGCTAAATGTTGTAAAAATATCTACAGGGGAAGATTGCTCTATAATGAAGTCAGATTTTGGGATAATTAATGAAGTCAGATTTTTAGCAAGTCTTTCTTGGATATTTTTAAAAATACTTTTGAGTTGGCTTGCAAAATATTGACTTATTGTGTTACATTTTGCTTCTGGTATTATTTAATTAGTTTTAGGATTATTTGAATGAAGTATTTCTTTTGCAGTAATCCATGTTTCTTTTTGATTTTTATGTACTGAATTAAGTTTTTCCTTATAATATCTAATAATATAATATCATCTGGATTTGTGAATTGCTTTAGATGCCTCTCGACATGTAGTAAGTCTTTTTGATTCTTTTTGAAATAGGGTCAAGTTATCAAGAATGGTTATTATATTTGTCCAGCATAATAATCCACATTAATTTCAGGTAATAAACAGCATGGCATCAATTGCATTTCTTCTAATAAAAGTGATAAGTTTAGTTTTTTTAAATTTTATTTCAAAAATCAAACAGTTGTACTTTTTAAAGGTTGATGTTGGAGTGCTACCTGAACCAAATAGTGGTCCAAAATACCCTCATCTGATACTTGAATATTATTGATGGAGATGTCATCATGGCATTTTATTACTAGATCAAGCAGGTTAGCAATTCCAGAAGTTGATGATATGCTAGTTGGAGATTGAACTTGTTGTATCATGCTGTAAGTATCTAAATATTAGCAAGCTCTAGATTGATATTTACTGGAATGGTACCTGGGCAATTAAAGTCACCACAAAGAAGCATTTCTCCAGACAATGTTTGAAGTACCCTCATCTGATACTTGAATATTATTGATGGAGATGTCATCATGGCATTTTATTACTAGATCAAGCAGGTTAGCAATTCCAGAAGTTGATGATATGCTAGTTGGAGATTGAACTTGTTGTATCATGCTGTAAGTATCTAAATATTAGCAAGCTCTAGATTGATATTTACTGGAATGGTACCTGGGCAATTAAAGTCACCACAAAGAAGCATTTCTCCAGACAATGTTTGAAGTTCTTCTAGAAGATCAGAAAATTCTAAAAAAAAAAACCTAGTCAAAATGATTGGAAATGATAGATAAATAGCAACAATGTTGTAAATAGTATTTGCTAAATTTAATTTAGCAAATGCATGTTCATAGGACAGGCAAGTAGATAATAATGATAAGGGTTTAATATTTAAATTGTCTCTGTATATAATTGTAACGCCTCCCCACAATAGTCAGATCAGCAGTGTTGAATTGTTTTATAACCTGGTGGTGTCATATCTTCTTGAATTGCAGCAGGATCGTCTGGCTTTATTCAAATTTCAGTTGGTATAAAAATATCTAACAATTGATTTTGTGCTATATCAGGAATGATGGCAGATTTCTTTATAGCAGATTAAACATTTTAGATAATTAAGTTTAGTGTAAATTATGCAGAAGGTCTTAGAGTGGTATTTTTATATTTTCTATTCTTCTCATTCTACTCTTATTTGTTGCATCTCTTTATCGTGTTGCCACTTCCTTACTACGCATTTTATCTCTCTATGTATAGAACTCTGTTGTCATATCTGGAGTGGATCTTCCAATGATGCCCTATTTTTTTTTGACAAGGAGCAAAAAGCCATTGTAAACATATTTGGTCCTGATCTTGCAACCAACCTTCAACTATTGTCACATTATTGTAATGTTTCTTCTTTTTCTCTTTTTTTTATAATTACTATAATGGACATTGCTCTAAAGAACTAACATCTCCTGTACCATCTACTAAACTTTATTCTTGTGTTATTTGTTGATCGATTGAATCTCATCCTTTTAGTGTGACTGTTCCTTGTACTCCAAAAGTTCTTGTTTGGCAAGTTTTTTTCCTCTATCATCAGTTGATTTGAATTCGCTCCCTTTATCTTGTTTTCCTGGTTCATATAATTTACAATCTTTTAAGTTGTTTGTTAATGTTATCTTGCTTCAAAAACTTTATATTTTCTCTTCCAGTAACTTCTAACTATATTAGTGGTTGTTTGCAGCTTTCTTGGAAGTGAAGATGTTGAAAAAAAGCAAAAAAAAAAAAACAACAACAAAAAAAAATAACAACTTATATTGCTTTATAGATTATAGGAAAATATGTGTGTGGCAAGCAACATAAAAACACTTTGTGCATTTTTATTTTTATTTTAAATAAATGTTTTATGTGATGTATAGAAAAGTACTCTTTTGTAAACAACGTCACTGCCCTAGTTAATATCAAGTTAGAGATCAAGTTAAAATTTTTTCAGATGAAGGTTGTTGATTCAGTAACAGTCAATAACCAGTTTATACCATCTCAAAAATTTTGTAAGACTAAAGTTCTTGTCTTTTTAATGCTTAGCTTCTAGTTGAAAAATTGGTCATCTGCAATACTATTTTAAATAGCATCTGCAATACTATTTTAGTTAATTTAGGGTAAGAAAATCAAAAATATATTTTTTTGAACTAAACAAGAAGCCATTGCTAAATGATCTAAAAGCCGTCTATCTCTAATAGGCCAAAGACTGCTTAAATTTTTTCACTCCAAACAGCAGTTTTTGCTTACAGTGAATGTAGATGTTTAAAATTATTTTATTGAACACATTTTATTAGGTTGTTAATCTTTGGTCTTATTTTCACAGATGCAACCTAGATCTTTAAAAATTGAATTACATTTTAAAATTAGTAATATTTTCTAGAACTCCGTCTTATGGTTAAGTCAGTGAGAGTCGTCGTAAAAAAAATTTCAAATCTTTCATGGTCTAGAAATTTACTATATATATATATATATATATATATATATATATATATATATATATATATATATATATATATATATATATATATATATATATATATATCTATATATATATATATATATATATATATATCTATATATATATATATATATATATATATATATATATATATATATATATATATATATATATATATATATATATATATATATATATATATATATATATATATATATATATATATATATATATATATATATATATATATATATATATATATATATATATATATATATTTTGTTTTTTAAAATACAGAGCTTCTAATTATGAACAAACATGTTTTTACTAATGGAGTTTTAATATTTGGAAAAATCAGAAATTTTGAATAGCGATATATATATATATATATATATATATATATATATATATATATATATATATATATATATATATATATATATATATATATATTATATATATATATATATATATATATATATATATATATATATATATATATATATATATATATATATATATATATATATATATATATATATATATATATATATATATATATATATATATATATATATATATATATATATAAATTTCAGCTTACAATCTTTTGTGGTTCATGAGATATCGCTATTCAAAATTTCTGATTTTTCCAAATATTAAAACTCCATTAGTAAAAACATGTTTGTTCATAATTAGAAGCTCTGTATTTTAAAAAACAAAATTTCAGAAAACTTCCTAGTTTTTTTTATTATATACAACTGTAGGCTTACTTTGTTAAAACCTTGACATTGAATTTTTTATTGTCACAACCTAAAATTATTGTTTGCAGGTATAAAAAATTGATTTTTGATGGATCAATATACAAAATAAGCAACTTAAGAAGTGAAAAGACATATCTTTTTAGTTTTTATATATGGTAGGCTTCCTATTTTGTATAATTTTGTATAATGTATAAATTCGCTATTCCATCCTTCCCAATTTGTTTGATTATCATTGTTTAAATTTAGGTTACAGATTATACTTAGTGATAAGAGTTATTTGATTTGTCATTACAATACACAAGTTTATTATGTAGTATATATATTATGTAATAAAAATATTATTATTTAATAAAATATCGACATAAAAATTGAATCATTCAAATTTTTTTAATAAAAAATTTGGATTGATCAAATTAACAACAATTTTGCTATGTTGTTATTTAATTTTGTTATTATAAATTATTGTACAAGTGTAGTATTTCAGTTTTTTCATGAGCTGATAGTTCATAGCGTCTACCAGTTGCTGATTACACTTTTAAAGATGAAATTTTGCATAGAACATTTTTAATTGGAACCCAGCAAATATCTTCTTTATGTGGCCAACTAAAAGTGTTTGAAGAAATAGACTGCTTTATGAACTTTAAACGGATATCTTGATTTTCTTCAGATACTTCCACAATGTTACCTAAAAACCATTTTTCATCAAAAACACATGTTATATAAATTCCTGGTGAAAAAGAGGCAAGTGGAATTGTATAGTTCTGCTGCATTATTAAAATACTTACATTAGTAAACACATTGTCAAATGACACCCGCCTGATTTTGGTATAAAACAATAGTGATTTCTTGTTTCTGAAATTGTTGAACAAGTAGCCTAACTTTCTTCTAATTTAAAATATATGAAATTTAATGTGACTGTATCATTTGAAATGTATTAAAATGTATTCCTTTAATATTTTGTCTACACTAATCATACATTTTCTCAGATGAATTGGTAGGATCAGTTAGTGATTGTAAACTAATCCTTGCTACAAGTCTTTTGACAGTGCACCCAACACCATCACAAGCACTCTTTCCATGCAATGTAGCAAAAAAATGCCATTCTGCAGATACCTCATGATCATGTTCATGGTGACATAGGTTAGACATGTTTTTATAATTTTTGTATTGTGAACTTGCATTATCACTGAAATAAATGCAATAGTTGAAGTATGGTATCAACTCTTTTAAATGTTTTAATATTTCATGAATGAGACAATGTTCATTGTTCAATGTTCTCAGATCATTTGCAACACAATACAAACTCAGTTCAAACTGAGTTTGTATTGTGTTGCAAATGATCTGAGATAATACAAATACTTTTACATTTTATCTTATTTTCTTACATAAAGTAAATAACAAAAGGATGCAATGTTGCTTGGCTGTTGTTCCAATTGAAACCTTGTACTGCATCTTGAATTAAAAAGCTGTAATTTTCAGCAAAGTCTAGTAATATTAAAATATGATTACTTGGTAATGTGATTTTTAGATGCTGCGAATATGCTACTTGATTTTTGGCTATGTAGTGATGGTCTCTAATTGGTCTATTTGTTGACAAGCTTTTTCAATAAAATCCTACTGGAAGAATTACTGGAACTATATAATGTTTTTTATTAGCTTTTTGCCACTGATTAAATGTGATTTCTTCAATGCTATGTTTATCAAGTATAGAAGTAAGTCTTTAAGCCTGTCAGTATCTGGGTAATTATCACAACTGTGCAGCATGCAGTCTCAATTTGTTAAGTTACATACAACTAATGTAAAAAGATTTTTATATTCTAAAATATCTGGTACTTTTAATGCTAAAGACTTGGCATTTTGGTGGTACTTACAAAGGCATACTGAGTTGAAACCTGAAGCACCTCCAACAGGAATACACCACTTTCGACTAAGTTCGCAGAACTTAGAAAATCTAATCTAGACATCTAAGGAAATTTTAACAAACTCTAAATAAAGTTTTTTTTATATTAAGTAATAGTAGTCTTTTTTGAAAATCTTTTACCATCAACTTGGATTGAGACATACTGTTTTTTCCCTGGACACATTCAAGATTATTCATCTAATTGGTAGAATTCATGAACTTGATTTTTTACTTTCTCACTAAAAGGTCTTCCTGCTTTTTTAGATGGTTCTGCCATTATGACATGCATTTGCTTCAAAGGTCTTGCAGTTTTTATCATTCTTTTGGAAGCTTTGTGTATAGTCAATTTTCCAACTCTCAGGAACCAAAGTAAGTAATTTCAGGTTTTCTGATTTAATTAATTCCATTAGTGAGTCCAAGTCTTGTTTACTTTCGCAACATAGCTCTTTTGTTTTTGGTTCATCATTTAATAAATTGGGAGAAACTTTTAAACAGTTGCTATTTTCTTTTTAGTGGCAGTATGGATCTTGATGATCTTTTTGATTTTGCATAGCTGACCCTGGCTTTATGAGCTGCTATTTTTAGGGGTGAACAACCAAGGCTTTAATGCTTAGATTAAAGTTTTCTTCTGAAATATAAATCTCATTAAAATCATTGTCTTTATTTTTACATGAATCGCTTTCATAATCTTATTTGTATATATATATATATATATATATATATATATATATATATATATATATATATATATATTATATATATATATATATATATATGGCATTAAAGACAGTTTAATGCCAACCTAAACTGTCTAAACCTAATTTTTGGAGCTGTATACCAAATGTGGATTTTTGCATCTTACAAATTCCAAATTACAAAAAGTATATAGCATACCTTACCTTATGTTATATTTAATTTCTAAATTTTAGAAATTCTTGTTTTAAGTATAGATTAACTTGTGATTTTATCTGATTTTTTTAAGACCTTTGCATAACTTCTATCGTCAATTCATAATTATTTTATTTTATTTAAGCAATTATACATATTTGTTGGCAAATAAGCTGTATTATTGCTAAATATTCAAATTATTTTTTATTTTATTTGTTTAATAAAATGTTAATATGTAGGATAAATTAAAAATCAGAACTATTAATGATATATTATATTTATTTATTTAACAGATATGCCACATTGGATTATGTTAATAAATGATTTTAATAAATTTACATTTTATTGTAAATTTTATGTATATGCATTAAATTACTTTATATAATGTTTATAAAAAAATATGTTTTTATTATGTTTTAATTATTAATGTTTACTTATTAATTGGTTTGTTAATGTCCTAATATTTATTGAAGTTTTATTTAGTTATCATTTTTATTGTGAATGCTTTTTTCAAATTGTTCTAAATTGATTTGCAATAGAATTTGCAATAAAAAAATTGTTTTGTTTGTGTTTCTATTTTAATCAAATTTTTAAAACTACTTATTGGTTTGTTTTTTTATACTCTTTACTCTATTATTAAAGTATTTAGTGTACTAATATTTCTGAAAATGCCAACTCCAGTTCAACTTTCAGCTGTTGAACGTAAATTAAAGCAAAAAAATGGTTCAGCTACTGTAAAAAGATCAAAGTCATTCAATTCTACTAGTGCACCAACTTCACCTAATGCTGTAAAAAAAACAAAACAACCTTCTATTGAACCGAAGTATGATACATATTTTTATGACTTTTTTATGTTACATTTTTTTTTTAATTGATTGAAATTGAATTTTTTATAAAATTCCTCATTCTGAGTTACCAAATAATGGAAATAATATCAATAATTAAGAGATTACTTTGTGTTTTTGTTTTGTTTTTTGTTTTATGATGTATGCTTGTAATTGTTGTAATATTTAAATTTCAAAAATTAAACTATTTTTATACAGTTAGTTTCCTGCTCTATAATTCCTGTTTTTTTATTATAAATCTCACACTTTAGTTTTTGGTTGAACATTTTAGAGTTGTTTAATCTATTCTTGGATTTTTTGGTGGTGTGGATAGTATTTACTAGTAGTAGTTATTGCTAGTAGATCATAGTATTTACTAATAAGAATAAATAAAAAACTTAAATATGGATTGGTGGACCATAGATTGTCCATAGGTGTCCAAATTTAATTATAAATAAATGGTCTTCATATTTAAGACTCTTTTTGCCCAAGCCCTAACCTTTATTTGATTTATATATTAAAACCCCTACAAAGCATTATATTAGAATGACATTTCATTTTATATAAATAAAAAACTGAATGTGGATTGGTGGAACATAGATTGTCCATAGGTTTCTAAATTTAATTATAAGTAAATGATCTTCAATTTTGGAACTCTACTTGCCCAAACCCTAACCTTTATTTGATTTATATAGTAAAACCCTACAAATCATTGTATTAGAATGACAAATTATTTTTAATAGAGCTGTTTTACAAAGAACAAGTATGCCTGTGTGTGTTTGTATATATCTTTGATTTTATTAATATAATAATTTGTTAATTTAGTTTTAAAAACTTCCCAGATACCCATATGAAAAGAGTTTATGATCTTCAATTTTGGAACTCTACTTGCCCAAACCCTAACCTTTATTTGATTTATATAGTAAAACCCTACAAATCATTGTATTAGAATGACAAATTATTTTTAATAGAGCTGTTTTACAAAGAACAAGTATGCCTGTGTGTGTTTGTATATATCTTTGATTTTATTAATATAATAATTTGTTAATTTAGTTTTAAAAACTTCCCAGATACCCATATGAAAAGAGTTTATGAACTAGACCACCATGCCTGATTTTATTGTAAGTATAATATGTCAATAGCAATTTATGAGAGATAAAATGTTAGACTTGCTTTTGTTAATGACACTATACAAGGTTTTCCTCTTGTTTCAGTGAAAAAATAAAAGAAATAATTGTTATTAAAAAAGCAGCTGTCAAGAAAAGGAAAATCTAAAGTAGAACAAGTCTCTACCTGAAATAGAAGAAAAGGAATAAAAACTTCCATTTCTAAATCCAAAAGAGAAACAATCCAAAAGACCGCCTCAAAGAAAAATACAATCAATGGGATAATAATAATAATAAACTTTAAATAATAAAAATAATCTTTAAATGCATTAAAATATTTTAAACTGCTGAGTTAATTCAAAAATACACAAAAAGTGAATTAGGAAAAAACAACTGCTGTTTCATGCTATCAAGCTAAACAATTTTTAAATTTAAATTGTTAACCTTTACACTACCATTTCCCCCAATCTTGATTTAAAAGCGTTGAAGTTCTGGATTGAAAAAATTAAACATCCAATACTTGAACGATTTGGCAATTGTTTTAACAAATTACATTACAATGCCACAAGCTTTGCACCAGATTATCAATTAGCTTACATGGCATAAAAATCATAGAAAAATAAAATTTTTGTAGTAAATTTTTTAGATGATTCTGTTATTCTTCAAACTAACAAATATATCAAAAATTAATAAGAAATTCTCTCATAGTTGTTTCAATAATCACCTGCTTACCAAAAATAGTTAACATTTATACCAAAAAAGGACATACAACATAATCTTGCTAAAAGTGTATTTTTACATCTGATTACATCGAAGAAAAGTTGTGTAAGACTTGAAAAATAAGACTAGTCTCAAAGCTTACCTAATTTTTTTTGCCTCTAAGCCTAAAGAGCATTATATTCATAGAGCATCCTTACTTTTTGTGTAAACAGTCTTATTTTTTATTGAAATAATAAAAACTCAAGTGTCTCGTTATTTTTGTGCTCACTTCAATGTATGACATTAAAAATATGTTCAATGTATGAAATAATAAAAACTTAAGTGTCTAGTTTTTTGCACTCATCTTATAAATGATAGATTAAAAATTTTAGTGGTCATTTTAAAATGTTAATGATTACTTTTTATGTTTAGTAATATATATATATATATATATATATATATATATATATATATATATATATATATATATATATATATATATATATATATATATATATATATATATATATATATATATATATATATATATATATATATATATATATATATATATATATATATATATATATATATATATATATATATATATATATATGATTTTATTTACTAGAGAGGGATGGGCTTGACTTGACTCAGAATCATTAAAATAAGTTTTAGAGAGGTACTTTTATTTAAATATAATTGAAACAGTTGCATAGGTTTACATCTTTTTTTTTGTTTAACTTTATTTCAATTCATCTCTCCATGGCCATGCAGGCTGCTCCACTTGAGGAGGCTACTTTTAGTTGTGGTTACAGCCCTTTCTCAACTCTATAGCTCCAAAACATAAAACTTGAAAAACATCTATAAAACATTTATACAAGTCTATATAAGGTGATTAAGAGATGCGAGGCTGCTCAAAAAATTTTTTTTAGCTTAACCCTAACGTCTTCAGCTAAAAAGCTTCCACAAAACATCAGTTAGATGCAGTTTACATCTAAGTGCTTTTTTTTTTAGATATTGTAGCTTTTATTCAACCAAGAGTTCTAAGACAGGGCAGTATTTTAAGCCAAGGCTAACTACTGCTAGCCTTCGCTTAAATGTGAGTTTTGCCAGATAGTAGGAAATATGGCAGGTTCTATTTGATTATATATTACCAGGTTATACTGTATATTACAAAAGGTTGGTTATGATAATTCTGATCTTGATCTGAACTGAAATCTGATAAAAATATATTAGAAACTATATTGTAAATCAGGACCCATACAAAATGAGCAGTACAGCAGGAAAAAAGTAAATTAATCAGTCAAGTAAATAAGTAAAGTAAGCAATATTAAAATACTGTAATGTTCTCCTCAATTTTAGGGGGTAAATGAAAAAAAGTAAAATTCTTATTAACTAAATATCAGAAACTACATAAAATACAAAAAGTAAAATAACTTTCTAAAATACTAGGAACCATACAAAATAACAGGAACAAAACAAATAGTCAACATATATGTGAAATGTAAGGAACAACATGAAATTTTAGGAAGTTTAGTTAACTAAAGATGCAGTGGAGTATATAGTGGAGTTGTATAAATAGATTATTAGATTTATTTAGCAATAGCTGCAGTGAGTGTACAGGCAGGAATATTTAGATTTAAAATGTATATACATATATATATATATATATATATATATATATATATATATATATATATATATATATATATATATATATATATATATATATATATATATATATATATATATATATATATATATATATATATATATATATATATATATATATATATTTGTGTGTGTGTGTGTGTGTGTGTGTGTGTGTTTGTGAAAGTATGTTTATTTTTTTATACTATATAAATATTTGTACTTTTAATATTTCAAGGTATACTAAATCAACTTATTTGCTTTTTGAAGCAAAGCGTCTTGCCAAAGAGTTGGAAGAAAGGAAAAAAAATGGAGTTGTTAAGACATTGTCAAGACCATTTTTATCTAAAAGTGATATTTTTTTTCATTAAAATTATTTATTTTTTACTTTGTTTTTATTACTGAATACAAATTTTCCTTGTAAGCATGTGCGGTCGCACGCCTTGTCTAAGTATTTTTTTTTTGACACACTGGCCACAGCAGTTCGGATTTTTTAACTTATTAAGCGTTTCAATAATTTGCAGCAAAATGCTAAACTCATCTACTGAGAGAACAAAAACAATTCTTAGAAAAGGAAACAAAGTTGTAACAAAATATCAAGTTTTATTAAATAAACTAGAAAATTGAATAATTAAAAAAAGGAAATTCAAAAAAAAATTTTCAATAAAATTTTATTAAAATTTTTTTTTTAAAGTGGTTCTTGTTTTTAGCTACTGAATTTTTTACAAGTTAATGATTAAAACATTATCTTTTAAACAATTTAACAACAATTAAAAGTTCTGATATGCAAGTTATTTATGATTTTTATCAGTCTGTTTATTTAAGAAACTAATTAGCTAAAACTATGAGAAATTAAAAAAATTTTTTTCTTTCGTTTATTGTTTTGTACATCTTTTTGCTTTTAAAAATGTTTTTACTATATTTGACTTTTTTTTCTCAATACTTATATAATAGAAAAAATATATGTAGTAGGAAAATTAGAAAATAAATTGCTATTTATTTGTGAAATATATTATTTGATTAATAAATTTTGTAATAACGGAATAAATTAAATAAAAGAATAGCATGGTTTCTTTTATAAATGTATTTACAGAATTTGATACATGTCTGAAATTGTTTCTTTTATATTGCCTAGTTTCCAACGTTACTGCAAGTTACTAGAGTTACTGAACATACCAATTGCTCTGTTTGATGTATCTAGAAACTTGAAAATAGGCTCCTAAAATTTTCTAAAAAGTTTTAAATAGGCTCCTAAAAATTTCTTTAAAAAGTTCAACAAATTAACAATGCACTAGACCACAAATTTTTGAAGCATCGTCAATAACAATAATTTATAAGGAAATAAACTTAATTTATCAGGTTTAAATGTACAGTTTGGATAATCCAACAAAAATGCAGACATTTCAATGGGGGTAGACATTTCAATTTGGGTAATGAAAACAACCAAATATTTTATAATTAAATATTAGTATTAATGAAATTTTATTTTTTTACATAAAAATCTTGTTTAAAAAAAAATATTTTTTACAGATAAATAGTGATTAGTTTTCTTGCATTCCTGTGCATGGTAAGCACCCAAAGTTGAGATTTGATCAGGGCCAGGTTTGATAAAATATTGCTAGGACCAGTGCTGGGTTTGTGACCGGGGCTGCATAAACAGGTAAAAAAAGCTTGAGTTTCTTCTAATGATGTTTGTTTTGCAACTAACCTTAGATTGTTATAAAACATCATTGGGGATAAGGCACCATTATTAAAAAAAAAGCAAGAATAAAAGTTTTCATTTTCAATAAAGAGTTTATAGTGGCAATTGTGAATATGCATTTCAGAGCGCTATGATAAGGTTATGCATTCACCAAGAGCTACCATCTTTTGTTTTACATATACTAAAAATTTTATAGTTTATATAGACATAACATTTAATGATATGTTTTATATAATAGTTATTTGTACAAACCAAATCTGTCTTTTAGGTTTTCAAAATTCATTGCACAAAACTCTAAATAATTGTTATTCACACAAAAATTGTTCAACAAAAGGGCCAAATTGCTGATCTTATTACTTTCTAAAGACATTATAGAAGGATCATTTAGGTGATGAATAATGATGAATAGGAAAATTACAAATTTGATGGCTAATAGAGACCTGTAAAATAAGGGATGGCAATCACCACTGCCAGGGCCCAAAAGGTAACATCAATTGTGGTCTAAAAACACATAAATATGTTAATAGCCATTATAATAAATTGGGTACACCTCTACCAACTCAATTTGGTATCACTTTAATAATAACACATGCCAACAAAAATTCTTATTGATTTTTGGTGGTGCTTAATCATAAAAACCTGAATCGAAAAATCATCTGAAAATCATTATTACTATTTTTATCATCATGCTCTTGCGTTGGTTTATTCTTGCTTGTTATTCCATACACTGTCTGAGTTTTTGTTAATATCACTATTATAATAGTGATGTCAATCTAAATTGTATTTCTACTTAATAAATTTTCCTGAAAACCCAAAACAACATTTTCTTATCTGGGATGCTGGTATAAGAACACATTAGTTGATTTCTATTGGTGTTTGATAAAAGATTTAATAAATATTGTTCATTTTAGAAAACAAGAATTTTTTTATATATTGTTACCATTAACATATAATCTTGTAATCTTTATTGCATTTGAAATATTAATGAGTTATTATTGATATTGTGACATGTATTTATTAGTTTTACATTAAGTTCAGATTTTCCTTTTTGAGAATTAATGCCTCTAGTCATGTACTGGAAGAGCAATTCTCTGTAAACCTAAAGTTCAATGGCTAAGATATTCCTTGTGTTTGATCTTGACCATGTCAGCAGGCTTGTTGATTCAGGCTAGTAATTTTGAGTTTAAAATTTATGGGGGAATTGTAGCAAAAATTTAATAAAAAATTTGTTAAATGTTGTACAATTAGTTAAAAAGAACATATAATTATGTTTAGAACAGTAAATTAAAAAGAATATACTGAATTTCTTAACACATACAATTTTGTTCTTATCACAAATACATGGGTTAAGAACATTCATTTTCACAATTTTTTATTCACAACTTTATATGAAACATTTCAACATCATGTTTCATATAAAGTTAAGAATCAAAAGTTAATTACAATTAAATAAAAACTGTATTGTAAAGCAAAACACTTATTTACTTGAAAACTTTTCTTTTGTGTTGTTTACTTTATTTTATATTTCTTTATTTTATATAAGTTTTAACTAAATTGTTTTTTTGTTTTTTTTTGCAAATTAGTTCATCGAAATCGCAGCAACTCAAACTGCTCTTCTATATCTTCTGAAACTTCAGAACCAGCACGTTGTGCAAAAAAAAATTCTTGTGATAATTTGCAACTTCCATTAGCAGGTATTTAAAAAAAAATATTTATATTTTAAGTTGAATTAATGATTTAAGATTTTTTTTTCATTTAATAAAAAACATTCAAAGTTTAAGAGTAAACTCAACTTTAAAAGGTTTCTTACATCAAACATTTTAACTTACATTGCTTTTTTCATAGAATTTTGTTATTTATGTTGCTTTTTTCATTGAATGTTATTACTTATGTTGGTTTTTCCTTAGAAAGTTGTTACTTATTTTGCATTTTTTCATTTCTTTTAAAAAGAGTTGTTTTTTGTTTTCTTTTTTATGTATAACTTTCATAAAAAAAGTTTTTTTTCAATTTTATTTAAAAAATAAAATCAATAAAACTCATTGGAACAATACAAATTTGAAATTTAAATGTTAGTTAGGTATAAGACATTCATACTCATGATTCGTCATTTACTTTTATCGTTTTGATTTGTTCATTCTTTAAAACACATTTATCATTACAAAAATGTAATATCTCTCAGGTCTTATTTTAAATTGTTACACGTAGAGCGATTTATGTATGTCTTAAGCAATTTTATGTTATATTATGCCTTAAGCAATTTTACATAAGCAGTAAGCGATTTTGGTTAAGCGACTTTTTATCATTTTTTAACTTTTAAATTATTTTAAAAGTAAAAGTAAAAATATAAGCGATTTTACTATATTGCAGCACGAAAAAGTAACTTTCAATAAAAAACTGTCTGTATGACACATATCCATAAATCTAAAGTCCAAATTAAGTTTAATTTATCTCTGCACGAATTTGAATTTCTTATTTTCGATAAGATAAAAGTAATTAAGTTTTCAAAAAACCACATTAACTTTTGAATAACAATTTGTAAAAATATTTGTTGCAAAAGTTTGAATCATAATTGTGTTAAATATAAGCGCTATTTACTAATGAAAAAAACCTAAATAAAGTTAAAGATTTATTTTTATTGTTTTTATTTTATTGTAAAGATTTTTTCGCTTGGAAAACGCTAATACTTGAATATAATATAATAGCTTGAAGCAAAGATCATAATAATATTATTTAATTCTGATAAAAAATATGATTTGATTTAAAATTTGTTTAATCAGAATAAAATATATAATTTTATTCTGATTAAAAAAACAATAATTTAATTTACATTTAAAAAATATATAATTTAGTTTCGGTTTAAAAAATATATTTAAGTTTATTAAAATTAAAGTTAATGTTTGGGTTTAACTTAAGTGTAAAATTTATTTAAAAATATTACTAAACATTCAATATTTAAATTTTATTTGTTCTTAAAAAAAAATCTCATTTTGAAAAAACAATAGCTCATTTTTATTGCAATTGTTTTTTCAGATTTCCTTCTTAAAGGGACCACTAAGTCCAGAGACATGTTGTGTTCATATTGAAGAGAATGTTAAAAAAAAATGTCTGAGCAAATTTTTTTTGATTAAAACTACTTAATAAATGTATACCAAGAAAAAGGAATCTTGTTATTTTAGTCAAAGCTTGTCTTCTCCATTTTCTGCGGTATTTGGAGTCTTAAAAATAAACGCTATTTTCCAGGCGCATTATACAAACTTGATAATTTATTTAAGTACGTTTAATTCATAGAATTTTTAGTAAAGGACGTCATTGATTTTTTTGTTTGTTTGTTTAAAACACCGATTAATATTTTTTATATTCAATTTCCAAATCATATTCATTTTTATTATATTTTAAAGTTCTAAAATGTGTTTGTAAAAAAATTAAAAACAAAATAGTATTTTATCTGCACAAATTTTTTTAAATAATCATCTAGACCTAAAATTATTAACGCATCTTTCCTCTGATTTTAAAAAATGTATTATTTGGTATTGAGATCTTATTTCATTATTTATATTTCCATTATTATAACATCCATTATATATTATGGCGGGGGCTTAAAAATTAAAAAATTAATATATATTAATTTTTATTTTACGGACATACATGGAAACATAATTAATTTGAATGTTCTTAAAACATCTTGCGGAAGAATAAAAAGAATATTCACAAACACTAAAAATCTGCCAAATTTACGAACAAACTAATTCTATTGGTTCAAAAAATACACTGACTAAGCGAAATAAAGTTCTAGGGTATTCTGTTGAAATGTTTTAGCAATTGTATTATTTACAATTTGTTGTGTTTTGAGATATCTAGCATAAATTATTTTAAGAATATATTATCAAATGAACTGTTACTTTAATATTATGGCTCATTCTCGAAGCCACATCTGCAAATGAACTGTTACTTTAATATTATGGCTCATTCTCGAAGCCACATCTGCAAATGAACTATTACTTTAATATTATGGCTCATTCTCGAAGCCACATCTGCAAATGAACTATTACTTTAATATTATGGCTCATTCTCCACAACAACAAAGCTGTTGCTTTGATGTTGTGGCTCATTTTCCACATCTGCAAATCTTTAAAACTATTATCATTTGTTTACAAAAATAAATGTTTTATAATATATATTTTTTAAATTGTCAAAATTTTGAAAGTTAATTATAAACTATATATTTTATTTATTAGTATATTCTTATTTTTTTATATCTCTTTCTAGTGCTTGGTTTAATTAATTGTTCGTTAGATTTGTCAAAATAACTTGCATTAAAATGTAAAGAACACACTTGTGAATCATTGGAGATATTATATAACACGATTTGGTGCCATAGAGGTCCCTATGTCCACCTTTGCCGTTGCCCATGTAGCCACGGCTCTGATAGCTACAAAAAAACAAAATATTTTTCAATGTGAAAATTTTAGAAAATAAAATAACTAACTATAGTTAGCTATTTTAGTAAAATTTAATACTAAAATTTTTAAAGAATGTTTCCAATGACATCATGTACAAAAAATTCTATGAATTAAACTTAAATAAATTATCAAGTCTGTATAATGCGCCTGGAAAAAGGCAAGCTTCGACTGAAATAACAAGATTTGTTTTTCTTGGTATACATTTTTTAATTAGTTTTAATACAAAAAATTTGCTTAGACATTTTTTTTTAACATTCTCTTTAATATGAACACAACATGTCACAGGACTTGGTGGTCCCTTTAAACTTTTTTTTTACTCAAAATTAAATTTTAAATAAACAGTTGCATCAAAAATTTGCACATAATGTAACTTTTTTTTATTATAATGCAAGTTAAAGCGAAGCGATTATATTTTAATAAATGACATATACATATACTCGTTTCGGCGGACTGTAGCAGAAAATCGATGTTTATTTAAAAAAAAAAAAAATTTGTCGTTAAAACGTATAAAAAGGTTCTCAAATTTTAATTTGGGCAGCGCTTAAATCAGCGCCTAAATTCGGTCAACACTGTTGAAAATGATCTAGAATAGCCCCTGACAGGGATATAGTTTGGAAAAATAATCCTTGCTTTCACAACAAAATCGTTAATAAAATAATAAACTTTTAATAAATAAAGCAAATAAATTAGCGTAATTTTTTTATTTGTTACTCTGTAATTTTTTTAAAATAAAAAATCATTTGTAGTTGCAAAGCTGCAATTAGAAGTTTAGAAATAATCATTTAAAAATTCAAAAATTTAACATATTTTTATTCATTTATGCAAATGTTGAGAAATACATTTATTACATTAACTCATTTATGCAAAGGAAGAGAAAAGAAACTTTTTAAAATCAAACATTTTTAAAAATGTGATATTAAATTTAATTATTTTAGTAGTTAAAAAAAATTAAAGAAAATAAACATTCCCTCAGTAATAATAAAAAAGAAGTTAAATAATATTTAACTTGTTTTGCGGTAATTAATATTATTGCAATAATTTCAAAAAATCAATATCTTAGAAATAAATAAATAAAGAGAATTTTATGACATCAAATTCATTGTGTTAAGCATTTTTTTATTTAAAACAAGGCCTGATCTCTGTAACTGATATACTCAAAAATACTCTGAAATTTAACTGTTCTTTTTTAGACTTAGATAAGGTTGAATAATTCAACTTTTTAACATTCACTATGCAGATTGGTTAATGTTTCATATTTCTAAATAAGTCGGAAATGGTAAATGAGTTCAAAAAATTGTGTCGAGATTTTTGTCTAAAAATTTAGTTAACCAGATTTTAAAGAAATAATGTCACAAGAAAGTAAAAATTTACAGAAACAAAATATCATTTGATTGTCAGGGAGCGAAAACTGCAGGATACTAGTGAGTTAATTAAAATAAAATTTAAATTATGAATGCAATACAATTGTTGCAAGAAAAAAGGTAGATAAAAAGCTTATTTTACAATGGAAAAAAAAAGCTTTTCATAAAAAAGAAAAATTCTGTTAAGAAACTCAAATTCGTGCAGAAACAAATTAAACTTATTTTGGACTTTAGATTTATGGATATGTGTCATACAGACAGTTTTTTATTGAAAGTTACTTTTTCGTGCTGCAATATAGTAACATCTATTTTCAGATGGAAATTATTAAAAAAAGCAATGATCTAAAACATACAGCAAGAAAAAATAAAATATTTATTCAAAAGTCTGGAATGAAAACCTTTGAGAGGCTGGCATTTATATCTGATCTTAATCCAATTAAGAATCTGTGGTCAGATGTTAAACCCAAAGAAAGAAAGCCTAATAATAAAGATAAATTATTCATAACACTTTTAAATGGTTGGTATGGATGCAAGTTGATAATAAAAAATCTAATTTTTTTTTTTACATCTTCGCTTCCAACAAGGCTGCAAGCAACCACTATAAGAGTTGGAAGTTACTGGAAGAGAAAAGATGAAGTTTGTAGACCAAGGTAACAATTGACTTGAAAGATTGAAAGTTATATGAATCAGGAAAGCTAGATAAAGGAAATGAATTCTAAAGAAATGATGTTTGAGGTAAAAAACTAGACCAATAAGAGTTTTTGGAGCACTTAGGAACAGTCACAGTAACATAATTGAATGTTGAGTAACACGAGAATGAATTTTAGTTGATGGCACAAGAGATGCTAGCTCTATAGAGCAATGCCCATTTTA